TTCTTAAGCCTGTTTCATAGTAACATTTCATTAAATTTTGTCCTAGAATTTTTCCACCATTTACGATAGAAAGATATGCGTTTCATTTCGAATAATATTGAAATGTGGTATTTGCTGCTGTGGTCCATCCGCTTCGAAGCCTGTTCACGGAAAGAATCTATTATGATACAAGTAGTAAGATGCAAGAAGTGTATATAACATCTTGATTTCTAAACACTATTCGCAACATCACTTGCTCATTTGCTCATCTGATGCCCAGCCGTACACTTCATGTAACATATTAGTTGTGAAAGATATTTTTGGATCATCTCGAGATCTGTTCAGATCACCATGTTCTCAAGATTCATAGCCCAACTAAACTTTCAGCTAATACTAATTGTAATTACTAGCTTCTTGCGCTGTTCAAGTTATTTCAACTTGGCCAATGTGTAGAATTGCAGCCTCAACCTCGATGCATCTCTCCTCACCTTCAGACAACAACATTCCTGACACCTTCGAAAGTCAATACACGAACGAGTTCTCGTCGCTATTTTTTAATTGAAAATATTTGAGCTTCAGCTCTTGTGCTTGTATTCTCTTCTTCTGACTGAAATAAAAGGTAGCATCACAATTTCTGGTCGACAGCTACAACCTGACACGTTTAAGTAAATCAAACAGTGAAGATTTTTTTATTGAAAGTGGAAAATCGGATGAATTTCATGTTGTTCAATCAGAAAAGAGAAAAAAGAGGAAAAGAGGTTCGACATTATGTAATTGAGAAAAAACAAATGATACAATCGCATTTATTATGATCAATTATGTTACCGACCCGTTCCAGACGGCAGTGAATTCATCGAGAAATGTAGGAGATGGACTACCTAACGCAGCTTCCTCACGTGAGTTCTCTCGATTTTGACAACACGTCGACTCTATCCGATTGCACTGCGACCCCGTTGCACTTCAAAGCTCTCGTGGTCACGACTAAGCCGTTGTAGTCTAAGCGGTCACCGATACTGAAAAGAGCCAATTTCTAATGCGCTTTTGAGCTTTACTGACGTACGGGGTGGCCAAAGACAATACATACCGTTTAGCGCTTTTTCGCCCTCAGCCATAGCGTCATGCATTCGAAGCACGAGAATTGATCACATCGCTATTAAATTCTCGAATTTTGCGGTGGTGTAGAAGGTACGAGGGCTAATCAACCCGTACAAGCTTGTAGATACAAATTCAGCGTTTTTCAGACATAATTCAAGGAGTGGTAGCAACTCGATCAGCACCGTGGTCTCTAAGCGCAGGTGTTTTGCTGGGTGCCCCCCACGCGTTTTTGCAATCTGATCGAACATCGGTCTTTAAATAATCAGCGATGGACGTGAAAAATCTGATACCAAGCATAGTAGACAAAGTTTGTCAAAACTTCAACTGAGAAGTGCGGGTCGTGATAAGAAACCATAAAAACCAACAAGTCATGCTACACAAAATGTTTTGCCGAGGACGACTTAGCTACATCCTCACCGAGTCCGGTTTTGCTGACCACTGTGGCAAGCTGACTTGTTTAAATGGATCACAGCGACCACAATGTGCGTATCACGGAACGAATTCTTAAACGATCAACTGCAAAGTCCATGTAAATGGATTGCCGTCGCTTTGCAAGTGCGGCGTGGGTGGCTAAAGATGTCGCCGCATATGACAGAGATTTAATCCGCTGACTCTTTCTACACGTGCTTATACATCTTTACCCACTTCTACATGTTTGACCGCCAGATCACAAACCGAATTGCTTTCTCCTGTGAGATTACCACGCAATGGTGTATCATGCACCTCGTACGGGATTTCGGACTTGACGTCTTCATGATGAGACAGCACAGCACATTGAGTGTCATGCTGTAAGACAGCAAGACTTATGATTGAGTATACGTGTGACAGCGCGCTCTTAAAGAGGTATTCTAAGCATTAAGCTTTAAGCTTTGAAATGGCATCTAAGCTTGAAACTTTCGCGCTTTTTAGAGCTCAATAACGCAACAGACGTTGTGTCAAGCTGCGCGATGTTACTATCAAAACATGCTACAATATTTACTCGGGGCGACACGAAAGTGCATCCGCCACAACAATCAGCCGCCATAGCTGAAGAGGATTACTATATTGCCAGTCTCTGGGAGAGACGTGATGATGACATCTCCATGCGTATCGACGCATAATCTGTACAGGATAAAAGTGGCTTGATGTCATGCAGGTAAAACCTAATCTTGTCGACGGCATACTACATGAACGGGAAACCTCGTTTATGCCGCTTAACCCTAGCAATACTCAAGATGTGATCGATCTGTCATGCCCATCGGCATCTTTTTGGTGTTAAGAGCGGGTTATGTTACACAAACGACATGAAACAGCCGCGATGAAAGCGCCAGACTCGGGACATGCATTATATTATTATTTCGAACCTTCACGGCAGACTCTCCTGTCACAACCCTGTGCCAACTGAAAATAAACGATTGGTGAGATATTGTGCAATTCGGACATCAAACTACACAGTACTCGTATAAGAAATTGACTATACCAAGTCACTTCCTTGAGTCCTTTTAGCTATGTTCATTTTTTTGCAAGTTTGCTTGAAGGCCATCCTTTCCAATTAATCAAACAAGAAGAACTTGTTGGAGGCCAGGACCCCTTGTCTATCGTTTTCACTTCGCTTATTTTAGCTCAATAATAGTAGCAATGCTTACACGTGCCCAATGTGGCACGCCACATTTGACTTCCCCTGCTCTGCACGACAATGAACGAAAAAACTCTCGATTGCGTAAACCCACGATGTGACCGGATCAGTGGCGTCACCAGACGATTGAATGTCACTGATTCGTTAAACAGTATCTGTGGTAAAACTTGCTACTCTCAGAGCATCACGCACGGAGTACTCACCGCACAAGGATTAAATTCTCTTTTATTGGTTACTATTACTAACTATCAGCTATGTTGAGGGCGCTAAGCAAAGTACGCTGTTATGCAGCACATCTTTCAAAATTGACGCTTGGGCCAAAATCGTGGCCGCATATACCTTGTCATAAGCATGATCGATTCACAACTTACCGTCGGACTTTCCGACATAGAAAGTAGGCGCCAAGCAGTTAATAGCCTGTATTTCTGAAACTGCTTCGCACACTGACGTCACATTGTTTCCTTGGTAAGGGCAGTTACCGTGTGACGAAACATTGAGTTCCGGATCCATGTCAATTTCATAGTAACATTTTTATCGATGGGTCACACGCGTTGTGCGTTTCTATTCACCACGTCGCAATTTTCCTACGAAAAAGGATTTGGATAATCCGTGAAGAGCGATAGCCGTTTCACGTCTCGCAGACTTTGCTCGGAGAGTAATCTCAGTGACGTTATTACCACTCTATCCGTAAAATGTGCAAGGAGGATTTTTAAAAATTGATTTCATTAACACGAAGCTTCAGATTGCTGATATGGTGACGAAGGCACTCGAAACTAAGATGCCTGCGCTTATTCGCGATAAGTTAGCATGCTATTTGAGAACGATGTTGAACCTGGATGTCTGTCTTACATGCATACGTTCTACATCTTTCGTATAGAGCATACTATTTTACCAGTTATGAGTTTGTACTTGGCTACATACAAATAAGCTTGGTGGAATAGAATTCTATTAGTTATGCGAGATTATGAGTTAGAATTACGGTTTATCGGATACAATAATAAAAACAAGTATGTGACCACGTTGGTCAAAATCACGGTACTCGACAACGTAAGGAGTGGTGATTTCTTTTTATCGTTCAGAGCTTGGATTCTTCAGAGAAGTTGGTTTAACTACATGGTGTGATAATTCACTGTGGGATACCTAGCCAGTACCTACGTTTCCTCGACCTTTCCAATGTTTACAGACCAGATTGCACATCATCACCGCAAAGCAAATTGTTATAGATATAGCAACCCTAGGGCAACCGCGACATTGGAACATATTCAGCAATGTCATTTCGGGTTTTGCGATAAAAAAGTGGACGTGGCAAGTTAATCACGTCCACAACAAGCACATATTACGGGGTAGAGTACCGGCAGACTGTAATTTGAACCAGTGCAATATCTTACTCAAATATACCCTGTACTTAAGAAGTCAGTGAGGTAGGTCTACTTCGTAATTGTAATCTTCTCGCAAATTATGTGGCTATAAAGGTCGTTGCTCCGCGTGCATTTCCGATTCGACGTTTGGCAAATCAATTGCATCTAGCTCTTCCTCGCAAACTGTTTACTCTCTCAATCGTTTTGCAGTTTACACTCAAGTCATAGTCGCATCTAAATGTGATTCTCGATACCAATACTATATGGCATAACCTCCGTTTAGATGTGTGTCACAAAAAATTTCCGCTGAAATAACGTCTGGCGTCACGATTTGCCAGCCAAATTGGCTTCTCCACCAGTGATAAGCTGTGGACGTTGCAGTATGAATTATTCCTCGACAGATTTGGTTTTCGAGAGTGACCACTCGCCGTTGTAGTGATGCTGCATCGGCATGTTGCGCGAAAGAAGCTTCCGAATCGCAAAGTTCGCATACGCAATGCTCAGGGATTAGTATAACGGACTACATACGATGTAATTGTTCATTGAAATTGGAGCGAAGCTCTAAATACCAAAGTGAAGTACCACGATGAGGTGTCATGACTTATGTTCGATACAGTTGTGGGAGACAGAAGTTCGCGAAAGAGATACCGGGAGAACACGTGGGTGCTGTTGCATCGCGTAATGCACTACATGAATTTTTATTATGTATGATTTAAAATGTATGTATTTGAAATCAGTTTTAGGAAGCCTTAATATCCAGTATTTGTCGCACTTAGGATCAAAGGAAACCAGGCATTAGTATTTTGAGGTGCTATAAGCCCGTTAATGGGTGGAATGTACGCACCCATCCACCGTGGGGCAGATAATATAAATACGTAGTTTCGCCGCTTCCTCTGTGGGAGGTGCACGTAAACCCCATTGCATTTGGTAGCACTTAGCGCCAGTCCAATTATCGAAATATTTTACGATTTTAAGTTTGAACAGGCTGTATCGTGATATGGTCTGTTATCTGATATGGGTTTTCGGGTCAGCAAGATACGCTTAAGCAACTTCTGCTACTGGTTGGTCTTGATCTGGTAGCACAATCGACAGTACGATGGTGATCGCTCCGCCTGCAGGCGTTTAGCAATTATGAAAATATACTGGTGATACATCCCTTAAACGGCGCAGTCATACGTTGCAAACGCACAACCAGCTCCCAGTTAATCTCATATTGCTTACCGCCTAGCTCTTCGAGGATAGAGAAGTAGGGATTTTTTTCTCTTTTGACAGAGGGGTCAAGATCGGTCATGTCACGCGAATGGTCCAACTAAAGGCTGCGCTCGAGAATTAGGCACATAAGTGCAATGTATTTGTTGAACAGGCCTTTCCAACACGAGCTAGAGCGATGATGTCGTGAGTGCATGCACCACCAAACCAGTCGTAATGTGTGCCGGAAAATTAATGCTCACCCATCAAGCAATGCCAAACTAGACAGGTATGCCCCAGAAATGACCGAACGGTGGCGAAGCATCCTCCCAAAATGGTAACCCTTAAAATCGCTATAAATAGACCTCGCACATTCGACTTACTTATTTTGAAGAAGTACTGAGTACCACATTGATCGGAGTAAAATTTGGTGCTTTGAGATCTATTGAAGTACTGGAGAAGAAAGTTTAACGATCGCGCAAGAGACATGAACCTCGGTCGTGCTGAGAAAAAAGAGAGAACTCTTAGCTGTTGATTGGGTGACACTTGCAGATATTCATCTGCGGTAGTACAAAATATCTGGGCTTTGCGGGCTTCTTTCACTTCTGGATGGGACTTACGAAGTGCTGGACTTTCACGCTGGAGTATAGACGAAGGACACGCGCGAAAATGTCAAGACCATTCATGTAAAGTGTCGAGAGTTTGCCAACATGGAGCGCTATATATTCGTGGACCGAGGTCGTTAAACAGTCACATATTGAGCATACTGTGAACGAACCACGAGTCTACAAAAAAAGTTAGATGCCACGTAATTTTTGGTGGAGCCTTGCCGTGTCGTGAACTCCAATCTGTTAGGGAAATAAAAAGTTCTAGTGCGGGCGCGCAAAATTCTCAAAATGATATTCATGGTATTGCTAGGCTCTTTAAGCAGATATCGGAATACAGAAATGAATGAAAGATTAGGTCTCAGGATGAGAGGAAAAAGATCAATTTCCAATCGCAAACTTCAATGCATCACTGTTGAGACCAGATTGAGCGACCGTATGTCGTGGTGCCGACCAATGAGCTATAATGCATTGTAGAAGGGCTTGTGGGGAGTTAAAGCAACTGCTTTCGTTCCGGAGTCTATCTAGAGGTAAAAGGGTAAGTCGCGGGTGAGAGGTCCATGACCTAAAGATTGGAAAAATGACTCATTTTGTCAAGACGGTATAGTACCGCTGAGTCGTGTGATAGGCCCACAATGCGGTGCACTGACGCTTCACTAGGATGCTGCGCGACAGATTATCACTTCTGGACGACTTGGGTGGGGTGGTTTGAGGACTCGTATGTATCTTCTCACAATTTCCGGCACAATCTTTTTTAGCGATAGAGAAGTTATCCCAATTGGACATGTGCAAGAAATTGCAAGATAGTGACGTCAACGAAATGATGTGGTAGATACCGTAGAAAAAAACTGAGTTCGTTATCTGCCATCGATGAATTTGCCATACTGAACAGTGTGGCACTTCTGCTGTCATCGTTTTAACAGACCTTTGCTATTGTTTGTAGAAAGGATATTCAGACATGATGACGTGAGTATCACCACGCGTGTCACCTGCAAATTGGGGAGTGTTCTTTGATAGTATTGGTTCCTCGAATTGAATGTTGTGTTACATTACATTGGTCTTTGGCAAGAGAATAGTGCGACGACATTGAAGCTTTCTACCGTGCCAAGTACACAGCGGGTTTTCTCGAGAGAAAAGTAATTTGTATACTCTTTACCTGCTCTGTGCATGAGAAAGGCTTACGGCAAGTGGCAAATTGTGATGCTTATAATAAAAAATGGAGCCATGACTGCGACACGAACGCCGATTAAAAGCAGATAAGCTGAAACACGTCATGATCGTGACACATTGTAAGTGCTCTCGGATTAGTTAATTGCAATTCTCATTTGCTGATGAGCGATGGCCACATCATTTTCAGCGCGATGACCACTCAAGGCAGAAAACTCCGAAAGAGGACTCATTCTGCCACAAGGACTTTGTAACTTATCATGACGTTCCATCGTCTGGTCTTAAGCAGCTGCTCAAGCTACATTATGGCTAAGCAAAAATGAATTCGTATGGCGCAAATGATCATATTCATGTAGGCACAAGAAATCGGATGTGGACTGCTCGACTATATACGCTCAAATAAGCGGGGCGAGGAGACAGACAAGTGGATGGCTTCATTGAAATGCAATGCGTTTGGGCATATCGCAAAGCAAATGCAATCGTAGATTGACCAGGGTCTCTGCTTTAAAAGAAGACGGGGCTTCGCATGATTTCCACACTGCAAACTATATCAACGCTATATGACTCCATACCAATATTTTTAAAGTGGATGTCGTTAGTGGCTGGAGTACGGCAGGAGAAGTGATATCAAAGATTGTGAAAGAAGAACATGTGCGCGTCTTGATTCTCTCTGGTTCAGCCATTCCACATCGTTACTTTGCTTCAGCCTCTGCAATAGGCTGCGCTTGACCCCAACACGAGGCAATCGACTTGTGCGCATATTAGCGATTGAGACCCGGTAGCTTAAGCTGATGGGCAATCTAGAATCAAGAACGACCCCGTCAGATTCTGAGTTCACCAACCTGTCTCAAAGTTATATGTAAGCTAAACAAATGATGCGTCATTGCGCAAAACGACGTCGTCACCACATCTCCTTTAGAAATGGGTTAAAATGGTTATCCTGCGTTGTTCAATATCCCGTTGGGTATGTTACAAGTATTTATGTCGTGGTGAACTTACATTTGTGTTGACCTCGCTGCTGAAAGTCTTGGCAGATTATTTACAAATTGCGCGGTCGCACGCCTGTGCTGTTGTGCCTTATCCAAAGACTTCGTGTACTACAGCACTGACTCACAGGACTCCCACAGTGTAGTAGTGCTTGCCTCTAGTGCGGCGCCATTGCTCACTATTGCCGCTAACGGCAGGGTGTTAAATATAAAAAAATGGATTTTCGTCTTACCTTCTATAAACCGTGTCTGGCCGCAATTGTGGTCTTTGTGGACGTTTTGGGCTAAATAATTCATCTTGCTGCTTTCAGTAATAGCGTGACAGGTGAAAGTATTCTCGCCTACAAGTAAATCGCCAGCTTGTCCTACCGCTTGAAGGTGTCTTTCGATGGTGACGGCTTCAGTGACTATCCGACTCTCGACAAAATACTATCCCCCTCACTTGCTGAAAACGGCCTAGTCGACTCCTTTAAAAGGAGAAATAAGTTTGCTTAGCTTCTTCAACTCATGAGTCTTAGACTCCGTGCTTTTTGATATCGGCGAGAATTGATTAAAAAAAACCGCGACTATGTCCAGGCGTTGTTAACGAAGTAGCCTGGATCAAGGACTTTCTCTCCTAAACACTCGAACGTCACATCGACTAATGCCGAAAACACAAAATTTTGGTTTCCAGTCGTCCAAAGATGATCACCGTGCTGTTGTATAGATTGTACAACCCTACACGTGTGTGTCTGTCGCTCACACACAGAGGTGACACGAGCGCAATTATGTAGCTTCGTCCACGCTTTCTCAGCCGAGTGACAGTCACTATCCAGGAGTGCATCCCGAGGACAGGCAGTTTGAAAACACCCGTATCGACCATGAGGGATTAATCTCGGGTACAAAAAGCTGTCAAACGTTCTGCTGAGCACCAGATCATCTTGCGCACTGGGTGAGGAAAACCGACCGCCATCCCATCTTAAGTTCTTACAAGACAGCTTCAGCGAGGCCCGTCTGATTGAAGTCTTACCTCCTGCTTGCTTTTAAAAGCACAAAACACGACGTGGGCGTCCAGTGGATAACCTGCAACATCATTTTCTGCGCATTACAGCTCTTTTTATTTCCTCGCAACAGATGTAACAGCAATCGATCAAGCATTCCTCGGGCCAAATGGAGGAGCACCAGTAATAAGCGAGGATCACGCGGTGACTGGTGGTCCTGCCGCTTCTCCAAAGGGAAGAAATCCTCACGCCCGACTGACTCGTGGCATAACTTCACTAAGTTTACTGATATCACGGGCTAAGTTTGCATTTCTTAAATTCTTAGAGTATGGCTCGATCCATGTTTTGTTACGATCACGAGCGAATCAATATGGGCGCGGTCCCTACATACTATTATACACCATAGTTACTGCATGTGTATGTACCTTAAAGGAATTCTTTTCAAATGTTTGAAGCGCATCATATTCGTGTGTGTAACTGCCTGCCACGGAAATGGCGTGTTGCATTCGTTTTTGTCTTGGCTATGAGCCGTAGCCACGCACTATCCGATCTGGTATCGAGTACCTTCAACATTGTTTCCGTAACTTCGTTGCAATATGCGGATATACATCCGACACAACAGGGCATCCTCAATCTGAGAAATCCTTGAACGCGTCGGTCATGCTGAATCGGACTAGCGGGGGCTCGTTGACCCATTTGGTTTGGTAAACGTGAGCTGAGTTCTGGTGTAAATATGCTCGAAAGAGCATACACCGTAAAGTATCGAGAGTGGAGTGAACCTTCAAGCGCAGTGGTTGCTTGGGGGACGGTCACTTTTGCGCAGTGTTTTGTGAAGACAAGATATGTGTGATTCCCAGTGTGGACCGCACATCAGTGGGTGAGTGTCCAGAGGAGCAAGTACTGTGATTTTGTTAATTTACATTTGGTAACATATTACGGTGTAATCGTACAAAAGTCACCATAAGTACCGAATATCGGTATAATGAAGATAAAGGAACTCCGCGAAGATGTGATTTGGAAGCTGTTAGCTGCTCATCCAAATGAAAGGCATTGTGATTATGAGCGATACTCATACAAATATATATAGTAATAGGGCAAATTGAATTTATCCATGGTTCATGTACATTTCAATCATCAATGCTTACTAAGTGCACAGTCTCCTGCTCGTAAGAGAGCATAATCTCACCGCTGAACGTTTGTCAACACAAAGCTTCCGTGCAAAATAAACAATTATCTCATTATAAGCATTACTTACTGTTTTGAAGTGTACGTTTACCTACAATACCCAGCTGTACAACAGCTCTGAAACTAATGAAGACGATTAAACCTTGTGTTGGAAAGTATCTTGGCTATTAGTCTCACATCTGTTCATTCAGGTGTGTTATTAAGCATAGATATACGAGTTTTCGTAGACTAACCTAATTCAAGCTACACATGATATAAAAGATCTGACTAGCTATCTAGCACCTTGAGGGGTTATCAATTTCTCTTCTGGTCGAAGCGTACGACTGGCTCATTTGTGTGATCAATGGAGTCAAATTTTCTATGTGCACGGAAGCCAATCATTTATGAAGATTTATGGGTTCCGGAAATCAATACTTTTCAAGCATTACAGTACATTCAAAAAGTTACACGATTGGTAGCACATCATGATAACTGTCGGATCAAAGTGAAACGTGCGAAAAATAGAATAATGAGAATAATGGTCAACTAGTTGATTGGCGGTATTCACAAACAAAGAGGCTCTCGCTTTTTTCCCGCATGACTAGCTGCGAGCCCGTACGTCACGATATTGTACATAGATCAGAACCGCAGAGTTAAGCAGAGGGAGGCCTGCAATTAATATAGTCTTGGTTGTGCATGCCACAATGACGCTGGTAAGTCGTTTCCACCTGCAGTAGCATTTATCTTAATAGGTTAATGATTTGCTAAAGACACTGTCTCGTACTGGCATAAAAATTATGATGTTGGTTTGTGCTAATGCTATTTTCATCACTATGTACATGTGTTAGTATAAAACTGTATGTGTGTTTGTGCATCATGGTTGACAGATACTGATCATAGAAATGGAAGATACCCAAAGGCAAAATTCTTGCAAAGATAGCACGAAGTGACTTTAAACCAGGCAGTTTAGCGCACGGAAGGCTGTGCTCTGATGTTGCTGATCGGGGCTATTGTAGGACACCTGTGCGATAACGTATCAATGAGTGCCTGTTTCAAGTTACGGATGAAATTCGATCAAAAATTGATAGGGCTCTGAGTGTATCGCCGAAAGACCCTCTAGGTTCTAGCTTCAGTATCAGAAAAATCGATTTTGTATTTCTGCCCGAAACTCTCTGGTGTCAAATGCTACATCAACCGCGCGACTTCGCAAATTTGGCAAAGAGCCATCGTAATCAAATTATGTGACTGATCATTCCTCGTGTCTTTATGTGCATGTTTGGTTCTGCTCATGTGAGCAAGCCTATTTTTCATCGTTTCACACCATTTTACAGCATAATCGGTTGCCATTGCTTGAGCCTATGGCTCCCATGTCTGACTATACATGTGATATTTGAACAAGTCGTCATCACTTTCCTCCGTTATTGAATGGCCCCATCCGGCTTAAATGCATGCGTATCATCAATACCGTCTCATTCAACCTTACACTGAATCACTTACATTATCGCTTAATAACCTTAGGTAATCTACACATTGTCTGAAAACATAATTCGGAAGCTTCTAAGTCTTAGCTTTAACTTCTTTAGATCATCGACATGACCTTAACGCTGCTACCTGAACTCGCATAAGGGATCCGTTGAATTTAAGTGTCGACCCAAACAGCGTGAGATCGGGTCTGGCTGATTTCGTCAACCTATTAAGGAATAAACGACTGTAGGGACGTTTGAAATGTAGCATAATTTGGGTCTCTTCCAAAATAGTCCCGCTCATGCGATCCGCCGACTCACTCTGCTTCGAGCTATATGTAATGGACAGGTGGACGATGCAGCTCTGTCCACATATGTCTATCACCATCGATAGCATAGGCTTCATCTCGTTTTCGGATCGCAAGCAACTAAGATGACCATCTTACTGCTTCTCCTGAAGCGTCCTTTTCGGTGTCCTGTGTAACCATGCCAACGCTTTCACTGAGTGTCAGCTTTAGCAAATATATCCTCAATAAACTTTCTGCCACATGTAATCTTTCCCGATTCTTGTATCCAAAGCAATCGCTTGATCTGTATTCCAGATGACAATTGACATTTGCAAAAATGTACTCTTATACCGGAATTCGTGATCTTGCCGAAAGATAAACAATCTGATGTTGCGTGATCTTCTTCGATCTTTACAAACCAATGAAAACCTTAATTCCAACGACGGGCTACTGAAATAAACCGCTAGCTGGCACGACTCGTCAACTGACGTTTCACTGTCGAAGTTTCATAGTCAGCTCGTCAAAAGAGTCTTCATGCTCCTCCATACTAGTACCCCTCCCAATCGCGAAGATCATCACGCGATAATGCAGTGTCGAGTGGGTGTTGGAATTCACAAAGTGTCTCCTTGTATCCATTGTGTTCGTGGCCGACCATATCTCGGTCTGATTCTGACCTTAAATTCTTATACAATGATCTCCAAATCATGGCTCAATTACATAGCTACGTTTCTGAGGTAGCCTTTTTCATCCTCGTAGTGAGCTCCCAGTGTGAGTAAACAGCGCCTCAAGAAGACGTGGGTGCACTCTTTTGTCTGGTTGGTACGGATATTGTGGCGAAGAAAGCGTTGACTTGTTAGTAAAGGGCAATGCACATTTAACTAGAGTTTAGCTCGCTCCCCATGATTTATATAGTCCCATGAGCGACAACCTACCTATCCATTCGCAATTAATATTCCTGACTACGATACTTGAGATAAACATTATTGAAATACTATCACAAGCTTTTGGAAGCAGCGCCATCCACAAGAGCATAGCTTTGCACTTTAATGCCAGATAATATTCTTTATATCTATGCTAAACGTAAGAAACTCAACGAGGGTAAACGTCCTGACCAGGACATGGTATTATGCGCTTGAAATTTGCTACTCTTTTATTTGCTATCAAAGGAAGGTAAATTGTTACAGCTCAACACCACTTTTGAGTTTGCTTGTGACATTCTTTCTTTGCGAAATTCTCGAAAGGCGACGCTCGTGACTATATAGATACAGTACTTGCGTTTTGAAACTGATGTCTAAAGGCTTATAACTCAACTTAGATACGTGCACTTCTATAAATCACTTCGAAAGGAGACAGATGGACGTTTTTTTGGCTAGTTCTTTGCATGTATGTAAAGGTACATCAAACATGCTTATCTGATTTAGAATTTCAAACCTGATTTCTCTCGATAATTCGAAGTCTCAAGCCACTGGTTGTTCCTTTTCTTCAGTTTGTTAACAGGACGTGTTCAAGCAGAATTCTGGTCTGGAGTGCGTTTCTGAGATCTCACAGAAGGGGCGTCAGATTCTAAATCAGTTCGTCTTGCGTTATACTCGTGGTATATTTTTTTGAACAGATCCGGTGATACATCTAAGAGCTATATAAAAGTTACAATTCTGTTTCTAAGCTCTTTGATTTTTCACTCCAGGTGCGTAGGTCAACTCCATAAACTTCCAGAAATCATAAGCCAAATTCGAAAACTTAGTCACTAAAACTTTGGTCGGCCAGAAAGGCAAAATAGTGAGACACTGCTGGATCAGATAGATACCTTTGTGGTGGTGTATAAAATAATGAGTGAGCATGTTCTGACAAGGATGGAACAATAAAGTACCACGCTATACATTGTTGGTGCTTGATACTATGCTTTCGTTTAGATGTCACATCTATGATCTGAGAGATACAGATTTCGAGTTTTGCAGGTCTGTTTTAAGCGTGATTCCAATGAATGGACAGCAATATCTTCAAATCATTAAACATTTCAAAGCAGTTATAAAGCTCGTTACTTCATTTTTATTTACAGATAACTAAGCCATAACTTGAGCAGCAAAGTAACTGCAGTATTCAGGAATCTTCTTATGATCTGATTGGCAATAGTATAATGATATGCAGTGGCCACTGCTTCTGGTTATCAAAACAGATATAGACAAGGTTCCGTAGCGTTTGAGGCCGCACATCGTTTAAAACAATCTGCATTTTACAAAATGGAAGCGAAGAATCTTCTTAACGAGTTCATGCTGTTCAAAAGTAAACCAAATCCGACAAATGAAGAGAAGATTGAAGCCCAAACAGTTCTTCAAACTCTCTTCACATACATGGCGGAGTCCGGTGTAAGTGACCAGGCCATCGTTAATTTTTTTGATGAAGATGTGGGTCCACAAGCCGTTCAAGCTATTAATGAGATTGCGAACGGTTACAGGAAGTTTAGTGAGGTAAGACAACCTCATTTCTAACACACCTAGCAAGTATGTTTGCATGAATAAAAAGTTTGATCGATTTTTTCTGTTTGATACCAACTTTTTGATTTCGCTACACTATAAAATTGTTATAATCACTTGACTATGCCACAAAAGCAGGTTTTGTGCAGCTTGATTCAATGGTTTGTTCATATCAATGAAAGGCCACATTCGGCTAAGCCTCAAGTAGCCATGAACGCAATGTAAAGTAGTGCAATAGGTAGTGACTCATAGGAGGTTTCTATCGAGGTAATTTAGATGCAAGTATCAAATGTTATAGATATTAGACTACTCAAGACAGGATGACCAGATAGATGTTAATCAAGGAAGCGCTATTTTGGCTAATTGCCTTAAAAAAATCATTCATGGGTAAAAAGAGCCGAGTAATACCAATTTCTAAAGAAAAAAATCACTACTGCCCAGTTTCTTGAACATTGCAATGTGACAAGGATGATCACATCTGGAACACTCGCGACTAGCGATGTACTCAATATCCTCTGGTTGGTCTCGTTGTCGTGGACACTGCTGAGCGACCACACTTTCTAGTCTCTATCCCTGGGTCAAAAAGCAATAGCGTCTGCCTCGACAAGACGTGCCGTGACAACAGCGACTTGGTCTTTGTCGGCTGATGAGTGGCTGATCGATGCCTGGTGTCTGTTCCACGTACTGACTGCATGATTAAGTGTAGTCACATCATTGTGCGTTCACACCATCTTATGAAACTCACATCATTGTGTGATTGTGAGACCCACACCCTCCATACCAGGGCACGTGAATACCCGTTACACTCACCCCCATTACGATTGTGCAAACTTACAGTTCATATTCAAATGTCGCCTCGAACGAGGCTCGCGTGACTCAGACAACATCACCAGTACTTTCTACCAAATTTTCTCCTTAATGATCCCTGAGTCGAGGACACGGAAGACAACCATTCTCACTGATTCCGAGAACGCCTGCGGGCAGAGTCCTTCTTCGTCTCCTGCATGCGGTGCGACTTCGGACAGCTCGTCCACTGCCCTAGGTAACCGAGTACCGCATTGTCAGCGACAGGGTCGTACGACCAAGAACACAGACGCGATGTCGACGCTCGACCGCGTACCGCGCACGCCACGGGCGATGGATTACCTCGCCGAGGTTTTGGTGAAAGTCGACTACAATCGGATACTCCTTTCCCAGATTGGATGAAGAAGAGGACAAGGTGCCCCAGAAGCACAACGTGAGCCCTGCTCGAAATCTTGCGGACGTCGTGTCCGACATCCGAACTCCCGACCTAGGAAAGAAGTGGTGTCATTACCAATGACCTCGATGATGCGCAGAAGCAGCAGCCGTAGGGCGTCTCTCATGTGCGCGCATCCTCGGTCGGCCCTTGACCCTCGTGTGATGTACGGCTTCCGCTCGACGGATCCCGATACAGCATTAAGGGACACGATCACTCGATCGTTGGACGTCTACGTGAATGGGACCCCGGCCACTACACAGGCTGAGCTTCACGAACGAAAAGCTCTCTGAGCTCGCTCCTTGGCTCCACAAGAAATTCTGGTGGATCCGTATCGCACTCGATTTTGTACTCAAAAAGAAGGCGCTCCTGTACCACGATGCGAACCCGCTGCAGATGACGAAGACTTCTTTGAGCGCTAAGTGCAGCCGCACAGGAAAACGTTCCTCGCATTTCAACTCAAAGTTGAGCTACAAGGAGGAGGACGCACGCGTGGAACGCCATCTTCGTTTTGAATTTGCCAAATCAAGGCGCGTCGCCGCCTTCCTTCATACGGTCGCCCTGCGACGTATTGGTTGACTCATCACGATCCCGCGAGCTCTGTATGTCTCACACGGGTGATTCCGCGATAGCAGTAGCTCAAGGCAATAGCTTGAGCTCAGATTATGGCCCTTCGGCTTCCCTGGCTATTGCCAAGAAGCGCGAGGCATACGACGACGCGGAACGTCATGAATCTTCTGATCATAAGTGTCCACGACGTCTGCGAGTCTTGCCGAAGTGGCACTTCAAACTCCCACGAGTTCCGGAAGTCGGGGTATCCTCACCACTCCACAAGATGCTGCGTTTGACCCTGGGGTCGACGTCGACCTACAAGACGTAGGAGACACCACTAGGCTCGTCGAATAGAGTCGGCGGCGGACAATGACGACTCGGTCGATTGCCGTCCGGTGACTTGCGTTGCTCTTCAAACTTTTGAGGACACGGTCCGTCGCGGTCGGGACTCCGCTGAGCATCACGCTAAGGTGGCTTACCGCTACGCAGAAGGCCTAGAGAGCTTGGAGCACGTTGCGCCCCGGCTGCGTCACTCTGAGAGGTATCGTGCTCTGTCGGAGCGGCTTGTAGCCGTCGAGCAGACGAATGCGGTGCTTCATGCAACTGTAGAGCGCTTGGCTACGTTAAAGATGGATATCGCTGCACCCCATGCTCAGAACCAAATGCTGGTCCAGCTTCAGGGCAGTTGAGCGCCTGTGGGTGCCGCTCCGCCGCCACCGCTTCCGCGGTCACTTGCGCTGGATTTTGGTACGGCTTAAGCAAGCCCACATAAAACACCGGGTGGGTGCGCATCCGTTTAAGAAAGTTTGGTGTATACGCAAAGCCCCGCTTGGCCAAAACCTTGATATGTCCGAAAACCGTGAGCGAAGCTGTGTCTTAAAAACAGAAGAAACTGCATGGGTAGGAAAGTTTTGTCATTTATTAAAGCTAGGTGTCCGACCTCAAAGCTTCTAACATTACCTCTACCTCTTCCATGTGCATATTGCTTCTCCATCTAATGGCATTCAACTATCGCATCGCGAACGTGTCGTAGGACACTCAGTCTGGTAGACAGGATGCCATCGACTTCCTTGCGAACGTTGAGAGGGCTAACATCAGCGAGCCGCTCAGCTATTTCTCCCCCGCCACACCCTGAACCATGGGAAGGTGGATTCAGCAAGACGCGCGGATGAACGAGCCCGTTCACGTAGATGGGCATGTAGCCGGTAGATGGTTTCACTGCATTGTTCAGAGCAAACTCTACGAGTAGAAGCACGGCACTCCTTCGCCTCAGGGTCTCAGCACAGACGCTGCGAAGAACGTCCTTGACGACGCGATTCACGCACTCAGGTTGACCATTGAACTGCGGCTGGTCCGCTGTTGACATATCCAGCTTGGCGCCCAGCACTTTGAGATTGTCGACCAAAACTTTTCAGTAAAGCGTGGATCTCTGTCAGAGACAATTGACTCTGGGAGTCCGTGTTGTTGAAAAACATGATGACCAAACAAAGTCGCTGAACCGACAGCGTGGATGGTGTCTGGCACCGCCGCAAGATGAGCTATCTTGCTTTACCGGTCGACGAAGACCACGACGCCCATGTTGCGCGACGAGTACTTCGACAGGCCAAACACAAAGTCCAAACTCATGGACTGCTAACACCGGCAAACTGGCCAGCAGCGCCGCCGCATTCGGAAAGGGTTTTGCATTTTGCCACGTCTTTCACGTGCACGCATAGAGGCTAGTTGATTTGTACAGCTTAAGCCACCAATAGTGGCAAATCCCAGAGCTGTAGATCTTCTCACGACCGAGATGACCACTGAGTGGGGTGTCGTGGGCTTCGTAGAGGATGCGGTACTTCATATCTTGATCGTGAGGAGCCAAAAATCGTGGCGTTTCCGTCGAATCGGTGCTATAATACAGCAATCCATTTTCAAAAGAATATCGGTGCAACCGTCCACGCAGTCACGACGACAGCTTCTTGTTCGAGTCTCCAATGCCCTTGCTCCCGTCAGCCCGTAGCAGCGCTACGCACATATCATCACCCGTGTACACGTTGCGGATCAAATCTGTCACGACGTCATCGTCGTGACATGAGCAAGCATATAATCCAGACTGCGTGATAACGCATTAGCCATAGCATTATGCTTTTGTGGCTTATGTTTCACTCCGAAGTTTTATTCTGCGAAGAAGGAGAGCAACCATGACCGAGATGGGAGGTGACCGAGTTGCAGTGCGTAGTGACGCATGATCTGTGTAGATCACGAACGGCTCGGAGTCGAGTTGGTTAATTTTATGGAGTGCAAACTTCATCGCACGTAATTACTTCTCGTGAACTGGGTAGTTCATCTCTGCAGACTTGAGCTGGCGAGATTCGAACGCGATCACCGGATCTCCCCCTCGGCGTCTGCTTGTAGCAGTGCACAGCCAATGGCAAAGTTCGAAGCGTTACAGAGAACGCTGAAAGGACTATTAGGGTCTGGCAACGTCCGTATTGGTGCATGAAGGAGGCTGTATTTGACTCTGTCAGAAGCCTCCCGATGCTAGGTGACACAACAGCGGTAGTTCTCGCTGTTCTTGCGCAAGCTGTTGGCGAGCCAAGCCACTTGCGCAAGTCCTTTTGGTTCTTTAGAATCGGTCAGCTCACAATGGCCTTGACCTTAGCGGGATCAGCTCGAAAGCACCCGTAAACAGGATTTCTTCCGCACCAATTTGCACTTATCGGCATTAGAATACAGCGTTTGTATGTGTGCATGCACTCAATTTACGCTCGTAATTGGACGATGTGGTTTTTCTCATCTGGCTTTCCGTGCCCCGAACGGCTGTGGACGAAGATGTCGTCGAAGTATGTCTGTACGCCCGATGGGGCCTAAACGATTGCGTCACGAGAAAATTAAATGTTGTTGGTGCATTAGGCAGCCCTTAAGGCATCACCAGTTACTCCCAAAGCATCCCGCTCGGAGTACTCACCGCTGTCAGCGGAATCTCACTCGCTATCATGAGCAATTAGCAATACCAATCGACCATGTCGAGTGCAATGTACTTCGTACATTCAATCATTTTGTCTTGGAGAACATCCATCCTAGGAATTGGCGTCTGTTCCGTATTGGTGGCAGCGTTGAGCTTATTGTAAGCGTGATCGATACGCCTCTTCCCGTTCGGCTTCCAGACACAAAACGTGGGTGTCGAATGGGGAGAGTTGCTCCCACGCACCATCCTGCATCGTGCTTCGCACGAAAAAAGGCGCCAATGACTTCACTTTGCTCCTTGGGCAGGAGC